TATGTGTGTTCTCCGCTCTGCGTAAGCCATCGGTTAAGCCGGAAGTGTGGAGTCTTTTAGAGAATAGTGGGAAGGGAGGGGAAGGGGGGGGTAGCAGCCATTTCTATTGACACTCTCCCATTCTCTTCTGTAGTTGTTGTATTTTCGGGTTTTCTTTGTTTTGTTTTTTTTTCTTCTTCTTTTTGAGATGCCTGCTTGTGTTTCTGGAAGGGATGGCAAAAAGAGGAGCGATGTAATAATACTCACAGAAAACTGGAAAATTTCCTTCACTTTTATGTGCCTTTTCCTTTTTTTTTTTTTTTTTTTTTGTGTGTGTGTGTGTGTTTGTGTGTGTTTTTTTTTACCTTTTTTTTCTAATAGTACTTGTTGGTGTAATAATTTTTATATATTTTTATTATTATTATTATTATTATTGGTTTTTATGTTGCCTGACGCCCACTGCAATTTTTGTTTTCTTCTATTTATCATTAATAAACACCCACCGCTGTTGACAATGAGAAGGGCATATATTATATACATATATACAGGGATACAGGGATACACACATACATGGATGGTGGATGGTGGATGTATACCTGCAATGTATCATTATTCTCTATGTAAACAAACTATGCATGTGAATAGACAGGTAGTAAGAGGTGTGGAAATAAGGGATATGCATGCACGTACAAAAATATTATATTATATTATATTATATGTATATAGATTGTATATCATTATATATTTGTAAGTGGGGTGAAGAAAATAAAGAAAATGTGGAAGAAGAAGATGAAGGAACTGTTTATTATTTATTATTGAGAAGAAAGGCTTTTTTTGTTGTTTTTGTCATCATGCATTTACCCGCTACCCCGACTTTTCTTCTCCCTTATTGACATGCAGTTAACTCCTTCGAGTGAAAATATTACAGCCATGTGTTGATGTTATGGCCGTTGCATTTATTTTTTTATTGAACTTTTTCTCTTGCTCTCAGATAAAAATATTTATATATTTATATATTTATGTATGTATGCACACGGAGCAAAGGTCTATTGCACCTACCGTCTGAGTTCCGTTGATGTATTCTTCTCGTTTTTTTTTCTTTTTTCTTCTTCCTCTCCCTCTATCTATCTGTCTGTCTTGTTGGAATGCTGCGTATTTCGCTGCGATAGCTGTGGCAGCAAGAGGAACAATTCTCGGACACTTAGAGGAGAAAGTGGGGTTTAGGGGGAGGGGGGAAGGTCTGACGATGGCAAACCACAAGGCAGGTAATAAGAAGAACTCCAAAGGGGAAGTCGAACTGGCGCCCCAGCAGGGGCGATCGCTGCAGCAGCGTGGCGGTCAGAAACTTCCGGAACCTTCCAAGGCAGCGGAGAAGGCGTTGACACATCCGTTTCTTGGCCGAGAGCTGCGGGTGGAGCTGGTGGACCGTCGCATTCTCGTCGGGACCCTCATCGCGTACATGGGACTTGGCGACCTGCTGCTGCAGAACGCGGTGGAGCAGCGTCGTTATGCCGACGGCGAATTGAGTTGGAGACCACTTAATCTGGTGGCGATTCCGCTGAAGCACGTCACGGCGATGCACCGACGACTGCCGGACTGTGAGCCCATCACCTTCGTGGAGGGCTGAGAGGTTCGTCTCAGACCACGTAGAGAAAAAAGAAGGAAAAAAAGGAGGGAGGAACCGCACGCATTTAAACACGTGTATGGCACGCAGACTGGTAGCGATAGCGGCGGTGGCGGTGGTGGTAATGTGTGTTGGGCGCGAGGGAGAGCGCAAATTATTTCCAGCTTTTTTGCTGACGCTCCGTCGCTAGCCCCCGCATAGCCAATGGGGTTGGAGGGGTGGGAAGCACCGCCGACTGCAGAAGAAGAAAAGAGAACCAAGGAAAAAAAAAACATAGAGAAATAAGAAGAGGCGGAAAAATAATAATAATAATAATAATGATAAAAATGATAATAATAATACTGGCGGGGCGTGAATGAGTTGTTGGTGGAGGAAGAAGGAGGATGAGAGTTTGTTGTTGTTGTTGTTTTTAAGGGATGGTAGGGGGGGGGCGTGTGTGTGTGGAGGACGCATGACGCTTGCGTCACGGATGACTGTCTGTTGAATGCGTCTTTTCTTCCCGCCCCCATTCCCATCTTCCCCAGTCGTGCGCCGATCCTCTTTTTTTTTTGTTCTCTCCGTGGCGGGGGATGTTGTAGCCCTTTTTTTGTTGTTGTTGTTGTTTTGTTTTCTTTTAGCCTCGCTTCCCGTCCGCATATTCTGCAGTTCTCTCATATTTGTGACATACCAGACATGTATACATGTATTTGTTTGCGTTGGTACATGACCCCCTATTTTTTTTTCCTTTTTTTTTTTCTTTTTTTTTGTGTGTGTATACATTTATGCACGGATATTAGTATTTTCCCTGAACACAGCAATAAAGCAAATTATACAAATATATTATATATATCTATCCCGAGAGAGAGAGAGAGAGAGAGAACAAAAGGGGTAGCACGGCGCAATGATAATACGACGCTCTGTTCTTTTTGCCGCGGCTGTGGCGTGTCTGGCGTGTTATTTCTATGGAATTCTTTTCACCATGGTGTTATTGATCCTCTACGCCTATTTGGCGAACAAAATATTTGAAGTATATATGATGGCTGGGCCGAAAACATCGCGACAGGTGCCACCCTCACCAATTGCATACTGTCAACAACTCTCAGCGGTGCAGCTAAGTAAAGCGTACCGTTCGGGTGAATTGAGTTGTGAGCATGTTGTGCGGACGTACATTGAGCATATCAAGCGTGTCAATCCGTATATTAATGCTATGGTATTTGAGTGCTTTGACGAGGCCATTGAGGCGGCGGTGGAGGCCGATGCCGTGTGGGCGGCGTGGCGCGCCGACCGCTCGAGGCCGGCACCGAGTTGGCTACTTGGTGTGCCGTGCACCATCAAGGAGTGTATGTCCGTCAGAGGCTGCCCAAACACCAGCGGTCATCCAAAAAGGCGTCACATCATCGCCAAGAATGATAGTCCCGTGGTGAAGAACTTCCGTGACTCTGGCGCCATCATTCTTGGTGTCACCAACACAAGTGAACTCTGTATGTGGTATGAGAGTTCAAATTATGTTTACGGTATCTCATGTAATCCGTACGATACTCGCTGTCTGGTGGGTGGAAGCAGCGGAGGTGAGGGAGCAGCCGCCGGGGCTGTCTTTTCAACGTTTAGTCTCGGCAGTGACATTGGCGGTTCCATACGTATGCCGGCACTCTTTAACGGTGTATTTGGCCACAAGGCAAGTCCGCACTATATATCCAACCGTGGGCAGCATCCGGCACCCAAGACGGCCGCAAATCACTACATGACGACGGGCCCTATTTGTCGTTTTGCGGAAGACATTGCCCCGCTGTGCCATGTGGCCGCACGCGGTGGGTTTCTTGAGGATCCGAGGTTGTACCCTCCACGACCGCCGCTTCGTGATATTCCAAAGATTGGAGGGGGAAAGCCTCTTCGTGTCTTCGCATTGGAGGACTTTGGCATCAACGGGGTTCACACTTCTTCATCGCAGCTTGCGGCGGTGGAACTGGCAGCTCAATGCTTGGAGAGAGAATACGGGGCCAAAGTCGTGTACGTCAATCTCCGCGACCGAAGCCGTTGCTCAGGCGGGGCGGTCCCGGCTGCATTTAAGCCGTTTTCAGATACCTTTGCCATGTGGATCAATGTGCTCATGTCGGATCCGACGGAGGTCAAGTTTACCGCGCTGATGGGGGAGGGGTCCCCGAGTTTTAATGTTTTCTGGGAGCTGCTGCGGTGGCTTGTGCGTCGTTCGCAGCACACGCTTCCCGCGCTGTTACTCTGCATAATGGAGGCCATGGACCAGAATTTCCCGAAAAATATGGGGATGCCTTCCCCGAAGTTCGATATCTCCTCCTTTAAGCGATCGCTAGAGGATCTGTTGGGCGACGATGGTGTCATTCTGGCGCCAACGTTTCCCCGACCTGCCCCACATCACCATACGCCGCTGCTGACGCCACTGGAGTTTCAATACACCGCTGCATTCAACGTGCTGCAGATGCCAGCCACGGCCGTTCCCATTTGGACAGCGGACCTGCGCGACGCCGCCACAACCGTGACGCCTGCTGAAGTGCGGGAGCGGCGGCTGCCGCTGGATTATCACCTGCCAAAAGGGGTGCAGATTGTCTCGCGTGAGATCAACGACGAGCTCAGCATTGGTGTGGCGATTGCACTGGAGAAATCACTCGGCGGCTACAGGTACCCCGGCTGGGCCGTGCTGGAGGAGCATGCACGCAGGAGGGCATAGGGCGTCGCAATTGGCGAGGTGATTTTAATATAGCGTCTGTGGTTTACAGTTTATATAAATATATATATATGCATATAGAGGCAAAAGGAAATAAATTATTTTATATTTATAATTCATATATACACTCTTCTTAAAATGTAGAATGGAGGGAGGGGGGAATAACGAGGAAGAGAGATAACATCATAGGGGGAAAGGGTGCGAAAGAAAACGAAAACGCATGAGGACAAGCTGTGCGTTGTGATTTGTTGATTTTGGTTTGTTTTGCATAGGAGGCTGTTGTTCCTCTGTATACACACTCCGTTGCTCATTTTCTATTTTCTGTGATTTTTTTTTCCCCCACGGAGCAAAGATCAACGACCGCAGCGACAGGAGGGAACAGGAAGAGAAGAATCTGGCGCACATCATGCCACGCAGTGTTTCTCCGTGTTGCTTATTGCAAGAATGTACACAGCGGGTAAACGGATGACATGTATGTCTCTGTGTGTGTCTATTTCTCTCATGTACTTCGTAGCTCTACGTCGCGAATACGAAACTGTAAAATGGCATCTGTGGGGAAGAGGGGGATGGGGGAAAAAAAAAAAAGTGGTGACTGTGAATGTGAATGTGGCAATGGCGAACAACAAATGAAAAGAGGGTTCGAGAGGGAGAAGGCAATAGAATGCCAAGATACATATAGGAAGGATAGACTGCGAGAAGGAAAGGTGATGATCTCGTATTGTAAATTTTATGATATCTTTACATTTTTCTATACACGTTTATGTGTTTTACTCGTTTTTAGCCGTGCATTGCCGTATCCCTCTTCCTTTTGTATGGCAATAATATAAGTTTACATGGGCACATCTATAGCTCTGTGTAATGATCATATATTCATATGTGTATTTTAGGGCCGCTGATTGTGGGTTACTTGCATACAAAATCAGAAACACCGATCCCCGCCTTTTACTCTCTCTTTTTGTTGTTGTTGTTGTTTTTAATGCGTCTCTGCGGGTCTCACATTTACGCAAAACGGCAAAGTGAAGGGGAAAAAAAAGGAAACAAATCGACCGAAGGGGAAAGGAGAACACAAACACAACAGGTGCGTACAGAGCAGCAGCAGCGGTAAGCCCCGTGGCACGGGGGAAAGGCAAAGTAAGAAAGGAAGAGGGAGATATTAGGGCCTGTGGAAGGAAGGGGGAAAGAAAGGAGTGAAAGGGGAAGGTTCATCAAAGGAAACATTGGTCGAATTGTAGTTTATTTTGCCATCTGCTCATGTCCCTCATCACCGCTTTTCCATTTCACGCGTATGTCGGCGATCTTAAAACACGCCGCGTGGTGCAAGAGAAGGTGGCCGTCTCTCTCTCGTTGCTCACGCCAGAGGACATGGCCCGCATGGCTTTTGTTGAGGTGCGCACACGATGTGGGCAGGAGGACAAAACGGCCCCATGGCGGCCGGTATTGCGAAATGGCGAGGAACACGCCACGTTTTACGACACGCGAATGGGCAACTTTGACGTGCGCACATTTCCGCCACACTCCTGTCAGACTTGCGCGGCGAGCCTTACAGGGAAGTACGGCAACGAGCGCTGCCAGGGGCACTTTGGTTTTATCGGCATGCCGCGGCTACACCCTGGCGACGCGTTGCGGGGCGAGGAGCGCATGTCTGTGATGAACCCGCACCTTGTGGAAGAAGCTGAACAGCTGCTGCAGGCGAAGTGCTTCTTCTGTCACCGGTTTCGTGCCCCGTCTCTCGATGTGGAGCGATTCCGTCAGGCGTTGCGGCTCGTTGATCGCGGTCTTATTGGCGAAGCGCTGCATCTTTTAGATGTCGTGAGCAACGCGAGGGGGTACGACACGCGACACCGGCGTCTGCATACGGCAAATGAGGAGGTTATCAACGATGTCACACTTCTGCAGGAACATACGGAACGCATTCTGAGTCGACATGCACACACCTCTGCAGCGGCGGGTGAGGCGTCAGCAGAAGCAGAGCACGGGATGAAGGGGGCGATTGATGTCCGTAACGGCATAGCCCGACAAGCACTGCGCGAGTTGAAGGAGCACGTTGGCGTCTGCTCCCACTGTAATGGTATCTCTCCACGCATTACAAAACGAAATGGACACTTTTTCTTTTTCTTTAGAAAGAACAGCGCGTCGGTGAATGTCGCGAACGCCCTTCTCACTCAGACGCAATTGCAGGAGTGGGAAGAGAACAACAAGCTGCATAAAAGAACTCATACGTATTTTCGTAATCAAGACATCCGTGAGCACCTGAAACAACTTTGCCAGCGCGAGGAACTCCTTCTTGGCATGTTGTTTCCACACCTGGGTGAACCCTCCGTTATCACACCACACACCACACCACTGCCTGCACGGGATATGTACAAGGCATTCTTTATAGACCGCATTCTCGTCCCGCCATTGCCGTTACGCATTTCATCCGGTGTGCAGGTACAAGATGGCGGTGCCATCTCCCCAGATCCACAGACACGTGCTCTCTCTAGTGTCCTTGGATTTGTGGAGCAAATTGAGTGTTACCAGGTACTGCAGAACAACTCCACACCGGACCGAAACCTCCTCTCCACCGCGCAAGAAATTGCAAATGAGATCAACCTACGTAACCTGCAGGTGAAGGTGAATGAGGTGTACCAAGAAATCATGGGGACATTTGCTAAGAAGGAGGGTTTGTTCCGTATGAATATGATGGGGAAGCGTGTGAATCAGGCCTGTCGCTCCGTTATCTCCCCAGATTTAATGGTGGAGCCGAACGAAGTCTTGCTGCCCCGACCATTTGCCCGAAATTTGTCTTTTCCTGAACAAGTGACATTTTACGCCTCTGCCCGCATGAATCTTTTGAAGCGTTGCGTCATCAACGGGCCGCGTCGCTACCCCGGTGCCACTCACCTTGAGATTCGACAAACGAATGGAGAAATTCGGTTTATTGAGCTTGACGTGCCTGAGCAAACACGGCGGCAACACGCTGCCAGGTACTTTGCCATGGCGCAAAGTGGCGTCACACTGATTGTGTACCGTCATATCTTGGATGGCGACCGGGTGGTGTTTAACCGTCAACCGACATTGCACAAGCCAAGTATGATGGGGTACCAAGTCAAGGTGCTTTCTGGACACAAGACACTTCGCTTTCACTACGTGAATGGCAACTCCTTTAATGCCGATTTTGATGGCGATGAGATGAATATTCACGTACCGCAGAGCTTGGAGGCGAAGGTGGAATTAGACGTCCTGATGGATGCCAATCTGAACTACCTCGTCCCTACCTCCGGGAAACCGATTCGGGGACTTATTCAGGATCATATTGCGGCTGGTGTCCTGTTAACATTGCGTGACAAGTTTCTTGAGCATGCCACCTTTGTTCAACTTGCCTACTATGGACTAGCACCCTACTTGCGCCAGCAACACGAAATCACACTTTCCGAGCTTATTCCTCTGCCGGCGATCTTATGGCCCCGGCCACTCTGGACAGGGAAACAGTTGATTTCGGTCGTTATTCGGTATGTGAGTGGCGTGGGGCGCCGACCGGATTGGATGCGAATTAACAGTGGAGGGGCTTCATTGAGGGGAGTGTCACTGATTCATCCAGGGGTTTATAATCACACCATCCCAGGGTCCGACGTCGTACAGACGGTGACGCGTCAAACGATGGATGATGATGCATTGATGTTTATGAATAGTGAACTATTGATGGGACTTATGTGTAAAAATCAACTCGGTGCATCTAGCATGTCAATTGCCCACATTGTACATGAACTCTATGGACCACATAAGGTAGGACAATTGTTTGGTGCCCTGGGACGTATTCTTTCGCAAAGTCTGCAGCGCGAAGGGTTTTCAATTGGTATGGATGATATGTGTTTGGTTCAGGAGGAACGTCGCTACCGACAGTTGCGTCAACTGGACGAGGCGCCGCTTTATCTCCCCGATGACGAGGCGGCGGTCATGACGAAAATTATGGAATACGCCACGAAACTACAGCAGGAGTTTATACCGGGCCGTATGATGGTGCCATTTCCCCGCAATCACCTGCTCATGATGACCGCCTCAGGGGCAAAGGGAAGTAACGCGAATGCGACGCAGATGGCACTGGGACTCGGTCAACAGCTTTTTGATGGACGACGCGTGAAACGAATGAATTCGGGAAAGACGCTGCCTGCCTTTTTTGCTCATGAACGCCGTGCCCGTTCTTTTGGCTACGCGATTGGACGCTTCACATCCGGTATCCGGCCACCAGAGTACACGATCCATGCCATGGCCGGTCGCGATGGTCTCATCGATACAGCTGTCAAAACTTCCCGCTCTGGCCATTTGCAGCGTTGCCTTATTAAAGGCCTTGAGAGTCTTGTGGTGCACTGGGACCACTCTGTTCGTGACTCAAACGGCAGCATTGTGCAGTTTACATACGGCGGCGATGGTCTTGACCCGTGCAAGGCCTCAACCCTTACGTCGTGGGAAATGTCGAAGGAAAACCTCGTGGATTTCGGAAAACGATTTGGAGTGGACACGGGTGAGGCGACCAGCGAGACGCGACGGCCAGAAAACTGGGAACAAGGAGTGAGGAACAACAGCGTGAAGCGCGGTAAACGGCCACGCACAAGCATGAATAACGATAAGAAGAATAATACTAATAAAAATAATGACAAGGACGAAGAAGAGGAGGAGAAAGAGGAAGAAGAGGAGGATGGCGACGATGAACATAAAAGGAGTAGTAATTGTAATCACAATGAGAATGCACGCCAGCGGCACAAAGAGCAACAGTTACGTGAGAATCCACTCCCGCGGCACATGCATGACGGACTTGAGGACTATTTGCGCACCAAAGCAACATTTCCACTCTTCCAGCGGGTCTCACAGTTGGCACGCTGGAAGGCGCAGGGACAAGTGCAGGAGAAACTTGCAGAGAAGCGTAGAGAAAGTATTGCATATTATCGTGATGTTCTCTCGGAACTTGCCACAAGCCGACGTGTAAAGGCTTTCTGTGACCCCGGGGAACCTGTTGGTCTTCTTGCGGCACAGGCCGCCGGAGAGCCGTCTACGCAAATGACACTTAACACATTCCACAGTGCCGGTTCCACGGTGACCCACGTGACGGAAGGTATCCCACGTCTCCGTGAGCTGCTTATTCACGCCTCTGTTCAGAAAGCTGCAGTTATTGTGCCCGTGGAGAAGGCGACGCCGGTGGATGAGTCAGCCATTGCACGCATACTACATGCGGGTGTGGCGATACGGTTGCGGGATTGTCTTGCGCGGGGCGGGGCAAGTGGAAAAGGATATCATTATCACGTGGCACGACGTAAGGATGCGTCTGTGTTGACAATTGCTTTGCTCTTTTCACAGTCGTACCTGGATGATAGCCGGGCGCGTATGTGCATGTCGCCGAGTGAACACCTTGAATCCTTTACGGATGCATTGCGGCAATTTGGAAAGCGCATTATTAAAGCGCTACGTGGTCGCACGCGGGAAGAAAGAAATGTAGGTGATGCCGCAGCGTTGATCCTTAATCAGCATGACCCAATGGACGCTGCTACTACTACTGCTGCTGCTGCTACGGATGGCGATGATTACGACGACAGCGACCGCGGCTCTGGTGTCGACAAGGACGATGCTCTCAGTGATGGTGGCAGCGAGGACAGTAACAGCGCAACCGTTGGTGGTGTGTCACCCGCCCTCCGCAGCCAACGCAGTGTCAACGATGTGCCAGACGCATCCGAGGATGACAATGAAGATGAGGACGACGATAATGCGGAAGAAGAAGAGGAGGGAGAGAAGGCTGCGCGATTGTTACGTGGCCAAAATGGCCGGAGGCATAGTGAAAATGAGGACGAGGACGACCAATGTGACGACGAAAATAAGGGTGACAGTATAAAAGGGACTGTAGCCCCGCAGGAGGCGGTCAGCTACGATGGATTCGCACCCCTGCATGCTACATCCGGTAGCAAAGAGTTTATCCTTGATGTGGCTCCGTTGAGTAAACTTGCCGCTGAGCGTGATGGTGTCGCCGCTCTTCCCGACGGCCTTTTTTTTGTGAATGTTGTTGTGTGCATGCCTCCGGATATCATTGCCGTCATACCCGACGTCGTGGACGGTGCGCTGGAGCAGCAAACGCTGCCTTCGTGGCTGCCACAGTTCGATTCTGTGAACTTCACACGAAATGCCGATGACGCGACGAGTGGCGAACTTCTTTTTCAGGGCGCCAACGCGACGATGCGTCATGTCTTGTCGTTTCTTTCTCTTTTTACTTTGGGAACGCGGGCGATTAAATTACGGCAGGCCCGCTCCACAGACATTCGTGACATGGCGAACTGGTTTGGTGTCGAGTCGGCATACCGCACCCTTTACGACGAGCTGTTCAAATTATTCAAGCGGTACTCCGTTGACCATCGCCATCTGACGCTCATCGCTGACGCTGCCACGCATCGCGGTACATGGGAGAACTTCAACTTTACAGGCGTCATTTCACAGAGTGCGAGTCCGCTCTTCCAGATGACATTTGCGTCGTCAAAGCGGTGGCTGCACACGGCTGTGAGTCGGGGACTGAGCGATGAGTTGCAGTCGATCAGCTCCGCCATTATGGTGGGCGAGCGGCCAAAGGTGGGAACGGCGTGTGTGAAGTTGGCACCAGACGCCGCGGTTCTACGTGATGTGTTGGAGCACACTTTTGAATAGTGCGAAGTAGGCATTGCATGCATGTCTATCCGTGCATCGTTTCTATCAATTTGTCTGTGTCTGTGTCTGGTGTCGCTGGAAGGAGTTGGATGAAAAAAGAAGAAAAATAAAACTAACATTAATATATATATATATATATATTTTTGAATAGAAGTACACATGCATGCATGCGCACAACCTTTTAGTGTAAATGGATGAGTGCAGTTTCGTATAACACGTGAGGGGTTAATCGATGCCCACTTTTAATGAATGAGGACGACTTTGCGGCTGCGTTCCTCGCAGGAGCACAAAAGCTCGTATGCGCTCGGTGTTGGCAGGCAGCAAATGAGGTCGTGGAAAGTGAACATAATCATCATTACCTCCCCCATTTCTTCCTTCTTTCCCAAGAACAAAAATAAAAATAAAAATATGTTTTTATTACTTCTTCTTATCATTTTTTTGTTCGTTGTTGTTCTCTCTCTCTCCCTCTTTTTTTTTTTTTTCTTTTTTTTCCGTTTGCATCTTATTGCTTTTTATGTCATTATCTCAGGAAGCAAGAGGCGCAGGTTGTGAATAGACATCTATATATATATAAATATACCGAAACATACATTCATACGGCTGTCCGTGTGACGGAAAAAAACAGGGAAGGGAGTGAGGAATTGTCTATTGACGCAAATATGCGAAACCTTTTTTGTGCGTGGCGTTGCGTAAGAGGAGTGGACACATCCGTCATTACGGCTTCGCACACATTTCTCAGCATTGTCATTGCTGTTCGGCACAAGAGTCTCGGTGCAAAGGTTCAAGCCAATCCCAACGAAAGGGGTGGCGCTGGGCCTGCTCTTGAGGACGTTGCCAACACCACGCCGCGGCAAACGGATATGGGGCAGGTTCTGCATCAACTCTTATGGCGGGCAAGGGATGCACTTCTCATGCAAGAAGAAGTGACGAAGGAACACGAAAGTGCGGGAAGAGAAAAGAAGAAAAAGAAGTGGATTGGTGAACCGGGCACATCGCAGCGGCTGACGTACTCACAGATTCACGCCGCAGATGCAACAGGGCTATTCGAGGTGGACTGGAACAACGTGAGTCGGCTGACGCGAAGAACACAAGATGGCCTTTCCACCAGCTCTCCTTCAGAGCCAACGAGTGAGGAAAGCATAGCGCTTCTGTGTTCGTTGCTTGCCGTGGCACTGAAGCTGCGGAAAGGGGGGGCGTCAACGGAGTTTTTGTCCTCACACGTGACGATGACGCTTCCGCCGCTGAAATCAGCGGAGGCCGTTGTGGCGCCATTGGGCCGCCAGGCACGACTGTGGGGTGAGCTGCGGGAATGGCACCTGTTGTTGTCGTGTGCGTCCGTCACTTTTGCGCGGATTGGCCGGGAGTGTGCCACAGAGAAGGCATTACGCGATTTGGTGCGAGTTTTTTTGGACAAACTTGACGCGTTGTGTTTGCCCGCCGTCAATAAGAAGAGGACGGGACGCCATTTCAGAGCCGAGGAGGGAACCGACACGGTTTGTGATGGTATGGGTGATACAGTAACAAACGCGCTGTGGCGTGTAGCAATGCTTTGCCGTGTGATGGAAGACTTCTTGCGGTGTGAGGGAGAGACGCCAAACTCATCGCCGCACGCAACGGAGGGAGGTGAGGATGTGAAGGGCTCTGAGAAGTCACGCCATCTGACGAGGGTTGTCAAGTGTGTGATGTGCGAGCTGGAGAAACGGGTGTTTACGATCCGCGGACTTGAGGGGTCTGTAGAAACGGTGGAAGGCCTTGAGGCTCTTGTCATGAAGTCATTTCAGTACTGCTGTGCTCCCGAGTCGTTCGAGGATCGGCACTCATCTGCGTACAAGGGAGCGCCGGCCGAAGCGTTGCTGTCATTCTGTGGAGCATACTTCAAGATGGTGCCTTTTTGCCTCATGACGGCGGCCGCGGAGGCGGGGAAGCAAGAGGGGGGCGTTTTGAATGCAGTGGAGAGCAAGGACTGCTGTGCCGTCACGATTGTACTCACAATTCGACAAAGTTGGTTGCGCCATCAATCTGCCTTACAGCTTCACGGAGTCATGGCGGCCTTTTGGTGGTTGCGGTTGCTGCCCATATTGCTTGAGGGCTACTCGGACTTGACGGCGCAGCTGCGGTTTGAGCACCATCTTCATGGCAGCGGCCACATGAGCATCCGACAACTAGAGACAGTGCAGACGGAACTGGTCAGCACGGTAAGTTCCATGTTGTACTTTGACGAGAAGGCGTTCGAAGAGCGACGAGCGGCACGGACGACGGGACCTGCCGCGGAGGAGGATGGGGGCGGTGGTGACGCTGGCACGTACGACACGAGTGATGCACGACTGAGACGACATCGCGGGGGTCGATCGCTCTTTAGGAAGAAGGATGAGAAAGAGGGGGTGTTGCTCCCAACATCCGCAGAGGCCATGCGTAAGTCGTCCCGCTTCTCACCACGGCGGGTTTGGGAGAAGAATGACTTGTCGGGGACCACCGCGTCCGGGGCGGCTAGCGGCACGGCGGTGAACAGCCCGTTGTTTGACATGATCGTCGCCGCGAAGGACGCCGTGTTTCAGCTATCGGATTTGCATGCCGTGGAGCAGCCGAACCGCAGTACAGCGCTGGAAATGACGTGGTTGGCGTTGTTGGCAGCCCGTCGTCGCGTGGAAAAGACGAAGTCAACACAAAAAATGACCCAATTTTTGAAGCCGAAACACACCCACCATCAGAAACGGCAGCAGCAACAACATGAAGAAGAGGAAGGGGGAGATGTGGTAAATATGGGTAGGGTGTACGAGATGAAGGACGGGGATGAATCTGAACTGGTGTTTCCGCCGTTCTTTGCGAAGAGCCTGCAGCATCTCTCCACTGCCCTGGCTGCCGCCGCTCACCGCGTGTACGATATGGCCGACACGTTACACACACGCGATGGGAACATACATCGCGTGTTGGGTGTCGCCATCGTTGCGGGCACACAAGAAATGCTCTTGGGGAACTCCTTCTACTCGGATGCAATTGCCAGCAACTGGTGGTTGCGTAGTAGTGCTCCAGTTTTCTTCCAAGGAAGACATTCGCATCAATTTAATCTTCCCTCTTTACTGGAGTCAAATCTTATGAGTCTACTGGTTCAGCGAACACGTCGGCATGATAAATTGGGATGGTTAAAGCGTTCCATAAATACGGCTTTGGAATGTCTTACCGCCCCTGCCGCGGCACCGTATCTCCCTCCGGTCACCAAGCAGTGGACATGTGCGCTGATTCTCTCCAGCCTGCGCGATGTGGCATTTTTACTGAGGCATAACGGTAAGGTCCCCGGAGCAACAAAGATGACAGAAGAGGAAATGAAAGTGGTACATACATGGGCGTGTGGTGCGTTTTCATCTTTGCTTTCTGTACTTGCTGCAGATGAGGAGCTTATTCTTCTTTGCGGATATGCAAGTTTTATTGACGCGCTCTTTGACCTGCATATTCATCTGGGGACAGAACAGCAGGAGTTGCTGCAGTTTGGAGAGAATTCTTTACTTAAATGTGTCCTCCCTGCCGTGCTGATTAGCCTTGTGAAGAGCGCAGAGGAGGATACCCCAGAGACACATGCCGCAGCCTGTGAGTCCGTGCTCTTTGTTCTTGCCGTGCTTTCTAAATTTGTCTCCTTTCCAGATCTGAGAATGACGGCGGCCAGAAAAAACGACAGCAGTGATCTATTGATTGGCGTGGCGGTGTATTGCCTTCGGCATGCGCGTCGCGGGGGTGGGAAGCATGCCAGCGACTACGGACTACCAGCGGCGCAATTACCCGCCGTTGACAGCACCCAAGCACTGAAGAGCTGCGGCAGCATTTCTTTCCTATTTAGGAGGCGCAGTGGTTACTCCTAC